TATGACAGCTGTCATATCATACCCTGCCATGCCCAGCTGATGCAAAGAATAGAATTTATATCTACACAGAAGAAACTGTAGGGCTGCACGATAAATCGCACGCGATATTTAACGCGCATCTTGTGAGAAAGCTGTTCTGTAATCAGCGGTAAATCTCCATCACCTGCGGGCTTTCACATTGAGCAGCATTAACTACAGAGCCGTTGTTCACCGACGAGCTGCGCAAAACCACGTTCATATTCGCGCGATTTTTTGCGCACTGCTGAGTGACTGCACGGTTTGATCTTCGGCTGACCAATCAGCAGAAAGGGGCGTTTAATTCCCGCCCACGTGTAGAAATCGAATATTCAAGCTGTTTATTCATTTTTCCACCCATGAACGAAAAACGAAAATTTAAGCTGAATTCTCCTTTTTCGTTTTTTGGAAAAAAAACAAAAAACCGAAAAAGGAGCCGTTTTCTTATTTTTCTACTTTCAATATTAAATAAAAAAACGAATGATCGAATGATACACGGATCGTGTGTTTATTATGTTTTTGTCAAATTCTTTAAGGTTCTGTATATTGAATTGTTACATATTATTTCGTAATTGTACAACATGGTATTTTGTACATGCGACTTAGAATACAGTTTTATTGTAAATTTAAAAAAATCATTAAATTTAACAAATTTACTATCAATACAGATGCTGCATCCACTGTATCGACCATACAAAAGAAAAGTTTGGAGTTTCCCAATTATTACTTTATCAACTCGTAAATACAATCTTTCTGACATAACTTAAATTAATCAAAGAACAGAAAGAAAGAGATGAGCATAAACCCAAAAATTATGAATGAAGTTTAATCACACTGTCGCGATCAGTAACAGAGAGAGAATCCAAATGCAGGTGAATAATAATATGGGCTTATTTGAAAGAGCATACTCAGCAAAAAAAAAAAAAAAAAAAATTAGTCAAAAATCTCAATCTGAATTAATTGTGTTTAAAAAGGTTTTGAGGATGGCATACTTGCCATGCTTGAAGATCTTGCTGCACATGATTTGAGACAAAAGCACAAATTCATAGAGTGTCATATGCTGGCTGAGAGTGACGACAGGCTGGTGAAAAAACTTTGTGTGGAAAGCCCTGGAAAGCCATGGAGATGGTTAGGGTGTATTTTATGCAAATGAGTAACCTCTGGCACGCAGCCGCTCATTTAGTATACTCCAAATTCATTAACATTAGAACAACATTAAGAAGAACATTCATGTGTGTATTAGGTGGAAATGTTTCATTAGAATTAAGTTCTACTGTGCATATAAATACAAACAATTGATATAAGTGAATGAGACCCAGTGTTCCTTCATGTTCAAGAAGAAGGTGAGAAGAAGAAAAGGGTCGAGAGCCCCAGAACTAAACCTACCCCTCATACAAACCTTTTTACACTTAAGATTTCCATAAGCAAATTTTTGTGCATGTTTATTAATCCAGCATTTTTCTCCCAACACTATAGGCAAAAACTGACCCACACACACACACACACACACACACTCTCTCTCTCTCTCTCTCTCACACACA